GGGGTGACTCCCGGGGGGGGGGGGCGGAACGAGCTAAGCCCGCGGGGCCACATCCTGCAGCTGCTAACGTGGACCTTCGTTTCAGAGATCAAGGCAGAGCTCTTTGAGACCTCCAGTAAGACGGGCCAGAGCGTGGGTGAGTAGCCCCCTTGCTGCAGGCTGTGCCCCCACCCGAGCAGGGCCGGGGGCTCTGCCTGACGGTGGGGCTGTCCACACCCACCCTGCCCACTCTCCCCCCAGATGAGCTGTTCCAGAAGGTGGCAGAGGACTACGTCCACTTCACCGCCTTCCAGGTGATGACAGGTGAGCGAGCAGGATCCGTCCCTCCCCAGGCACCCTCTCTCATGTCGGGGGATGCACGTGCCCCCAGGGAGGGTGTGGAAGATGAGTGCTGCGGGGTCTGGCAGGGCCCTTCCTCGCCCCCACCCTCCCTGGGGACACTGTGGGTCCGTGCCGGGGGTTGTCCTGCAGAGCTTGGGCCCCGTCGCGGCATCCTTGTACTTCCCGAGGTCAGGCTCAGCTCGGCACATCCATCCCGACTGCGCTGCAGGTGGCCTTTGGCAAACGGGCAGCCAGGAGCCTTGCCCAGCTGCGGGACCGGCGCTCAGCTCTGTGCCAGGCCTGTCCAGGCACGCTCAGCCCGGCTACGCCTCCAGCCCTGGGCCATGCCGTGGCCATGAACCCTGCCGTGGCCATGAGCCCTGCTGCTTTGCTGCGGGGACACCAAATCCCTCCCCCAAGGGACCCGCCGGGGCCCAGTCCTGGCACCAGCAGCTTTTGGGCTCCATGTGGCATGGAGGTGCCACACCAGCAGGTGCTGGCAGCCTGCGCCCCTGCTCTCTTCCAGAGGAGAAGGGTGTCGACCTGGGCCAGAGGAGCGGTGCTTACTTCTACAGCTGCTGCCACCACTGAGACGTCTTGCCAAAAGGGAACCGCTGCTGCCGGCCGGGCAGCCGGCACGCACTGGACTCCTCGGGTTTTTTACCTGCTGTGTTTTAGCTGTATGGGCCCGTCTGCAACGCAGCACGCAGCCCCGTGGACTGCTCCCGGTGTGCGGAGCGGCAGAGGGCTGCTGTGCGGTGCCAGGAGCCTCCTGCGGCACCAGGAGCCACAGGCCATCACCCCTGGGGACCCTCTCCCTGCCACCCAGTGTTTGCGGGAGCCGCTTCCCCGAGTCACTGCTGTGGCCCAGCGGCGGCCATTAACTTACTCTCGGAGATGCTGTCCGATTGTTTGCAGATTTATTTAAGCGTCTTCTCTCGAGGTGTACAATGTAAATAAAATGCATTGTGGTCTGAGCCGTCCCCCTGCCTGCGCCGCTGCCGCGCGAGGCTGTCAGGGCTCTCCCATCCCTGCCCCGGGTGTCTGGGCACAGCCAGGCTCCCCCCGCGCCCCCCTGCTCAGCAAGACAAACCACAAGAGGACATCGAGAGTAAAGTTAAACTTTACTTTACAGTAATTTTTCTTCTATATACAAAGAATTACAGTACATGTTCTGGGAGCACCTGGGCAGGGCAACCCTCTTTTCATTATAAGTTTCACATACACAGCCAACAGTCTAAGGGGAGCAAAATGAAAGTAATCAATGGTCCAAGACTCTCCCCTCTCCCTCTTCTAAAAATAATATACATGCTGGAAATATGTAGGTTTCTCTCACCTGTTCTGGCGTCCCCGCTTAGAACCGACAGATGAGTCCCAGCCAGGGCCGAGCACCCACACGTCCCCCACGCAGTGCTCACCCCGGCCACCGCCCCGGCGCCTGCCCGCAGCTCCGGCCGGCCCCCGCCTCAGC